GGCCGCGGCCGCGCGCGCGCAGCGCGCGTCGCCGTTGCGCCGCGCGGCGCGCGCGCGCGCCGCCGCGTCGCCGCGGGCCTCGTCGGCGTCGTCCGGCGCCGGCGCCGCGGCGCGCGCGGCGGCCGCGAGCGCGCCGTCGCCGCCGAAGCGGTCGCCGGGCGCGAGCGCGCCCGCGGCCGCGCGGCCGTCGAGGAGGCCCGTGCGCGCCGCGAGGCGCCGGTCCAGGAGCAGCGGCGCGTCGAGGGCCGCGCGGACCTCGAGGTCGCCCCGGAGCACGAAGCACGCGGAGGCCGGCGGCGGCGCGAGCTCCGCGCCCGCGGCGACGTCGACGACGCGCGCGGCGCGCGCGGCGCGGAGGAGCGCGCGCGGCGGCACGCGCGCGAGCTCCGCGTCGCACCTGCAGACGCGGAGCGCGAGCTCGCCGCTCGGCCGGTCGCGGCCGCCCCGGAGCGCGTCGACGTCGCGCGCGAGCGCCGCGGCGGCGGCCGCGGCCGCGCGGGGCGGCGCCGCGGCCGCGAGGGCCGCGGCGTCGACGCGGCAGAGCACGACGGCCTCGCGGCAGACGGCCTTGGCGAGCTTCGCCTCCGCGTTGTCGGGCTTGTCGCCGCGGCGCGCCTGTGTGGAAACCAAATCTTCAACCCGACTTCAATGTGAGCGTATGCGACAGTTTCGACGCAAGTTCTTCGGCTGGGCTTCGAGAACTCGACGAGAGCAATCGATCCGTCCAAAAATCAGCCGAATCGACTTCGATGTGACCGAGCTCGAGAGTTCTGAAGTTTGGTCGGGACCACCCAAGCCAGTGGTTGGTTTCCACACAGCGGCGCGCGGCGCCGAGCACGCCGCCCTCGCCGACGACGCCGCAGCAGTCGCCGACGTCGAGCTCGCGCCAGAGGCGCCGCACGTCGAAGGACTCGTGGTCGCCGTCGGCCGCGCGCTGCAGCGCCGAGAGGCCGTCGTCGGCGGCCGGCGCCGCGGGCGCGTCGCGCCGGGGCCGCGCGCGCCGCGTCGCGCCGGCGCGTGGCCGCGGCGGCGACCCGGGCTTCGCCGGCGACCCCGGGGCGCGCGTCGGCCGCGGCG